TGGTGGGCACCTGGCGTCCAGCCAGGGTCAACGGTCAACCCATCACACAGGGTAAAGGGTGTCCTGTGTTCTTTCTACCTCTTTCCCCCACTTCATCACGAACTATTATGTGGTTAGCGATTAATGCTTTAGAGTCTTGTTGAATTTCTTCCCTGTTTCTCTATGCAATGCTATAAGCATACAGTCACCCTGTGAAAGTTCATTCTGTTTTTTTGTTGTAAAGTTTTTGTAATAGGGATAACTCAAATTCCCCAATGAAACTGAGGGACTTAATCTTTAGTTAGAACCTGTGATTGCTGTGACTTGGCAAAATTGTTTTTCTTCTGCTTGAAACGTCCTTTTTCAGTTGGGCGGAAGTTACCGTTCAAATTTTGCTTAGAGAAGAGGTACTGCTTGGAAAATGGCTTTAGTGAAATAGTCCTATTCCAAGCTGTTGGCGTGTACCCAAAGCTTATATCTCTAATCCATCCCTCTTGTTGGCTACTAATATACCATATATGCAAAAAAATGCATGTTGCTCTTTTACAGGGTTCTGTTCCAAACAAGTTCTATGTCCATAATGATATCTTCAGATATGAAGATGAAGTATTTGGGGATTCAGAAGGAGAACTTGATGAAGGTGAGAAGAACTGTACAGGTAGAGTTTGCCTTTTTCTTGTTCCTCTAGCATGTATTATGGAGAGCTTTCCAAAGTGTCTAGAGCACATGGAAAGACACGAACTGTACTGCATTCTCATGGAGCGTAGTAATTTGGGACGGGGCTGAGGCGGGGAGTTACGTTGCTGGAACTGCCTGCTGGTCCAAAACGTTCTGTAAAATGAAGTTCCCATAGTAGTACCTTATTCCTTGAAGGGCTGGACTGGCTCGGGGTGGATGAGGCTTGGCAGAGAATAGAAATCATGAGCAACAGTACTTTTGCTGGCACTAGTTTCATCAGGTAGACTTGATTTCTCTGATCAGTTGAACTTTACCTAGAAGTGATTTGAAGAAGAAAATCTAATTGGCTTTTCAAATATGACATGTAATTCACTTTCATGTCATCATCACATTCAGTAACTCATCTCTATTCAGGGGCTGAACTTGACCCGGGTGGTTTTTTCCCCCCTCTGTTCGCTGAGGCAAAGCAAATCAGACTACAACCAGAATGCATGTACGTGGGTTCACTGGATAATTTCTGGAATTTTTTCATCTCGGTTCTGCAGAACAAAGCATCTTAGGCAATCATCCTTGTATTTGAGGTTCATCTTTTTAGTTTTAGGTACTGGGATTTATGAGCTAATAGTGCAATCTTTCTCCTTTACTGCCACTGTATGAAAAGCATCTGCTGCTTTAAAAGACCCTCAAACCCTCTTGCCAGAAATTTCCAGCAGCAATATGTCTCTAGTTTCTCCTTTTTGTGAAAATGGTAAGAAACAAAGCCTCTTGAACAAGTGGAAAGGTCTTCTATCTTATCTTGCAGCTGAGTTTGCCTTATTTTGTTGATGAAGCTTTATTTTGATTACTACTAGTTTAATGTGCTTTTATTTTAAGTCTGGCTTGTGTACGCTTGCAGAGATGTTTAAGGAAGTGTTTCTTTTTGTGACAGAGTCTGAGGAAGAGGTGGAAGAGGAGCAGGAGGAAAGACAACCATCACCTGAACCTGTGCAAGAGAATGCAAGCAGTACTTACTATGAAAACCATCCTGTAACGTAAGAAGTCCATTCTATTATATGAAGTTGCTTTTTTAGTGAAAATGACAGAATTGCTTTGGCTTCAGATTCTGGATGTGATTTAACAGGTAGTTTAGGAAACTACACTTGATAGGGATCTGTGTTATGTTAAGGTTATATTATTTTGAAACATTGCTTCTTGAATGGAGAGAGGAAGTGGGGGATGTTGTTATGTTTGTTAGTTATTTTCTCTTCTGGTTTCAAATATGAGGTGAAAAGGTAGCAACTATGTTTCTGTACACACTTAATGGAGTCTTTGTTATGTAAATTTATAACAGTGAGTTGATATGATGTAATTTATGTGAACAGATGGGTTAACAAAGGGGTGGTTAATGATATGTTACTCCTCAAATTTGGGTAGCACTTGAAGCTGAGAGGAAGGTCTGCTTTTTGAGAAGTTGCTGTACACCTCTATTGGAAGAATAGATCTCTATCCTGAGTGTCTTAACATCTAAACAAGATGAGAGAAAAAAGTTTCTTCGTGTTTTGTAAGAAAAATACATTTTAATTAAAAAAAAACCCAACACACACACACCCCAACACAAAGAAACAAACAACGCCAAAACCTTTGCTTTTTGAAACATAGGAATGCTTTTTAAAGGGCCAGAACTGACTTCATGGTTTTCTTGTTAAAAAAAAAACACATATATGTCATCACTAGATCATGTCTGTTAAGTGCATCAGTGAAGACGCTAAACGCTGGTCACATAATGCTTTTCATGAGAAATCTTACGTAAGAGGGGAGTCTGCTGGAATTCTGGCGGTGACTTGCTCAAGATATTGCAGGAAGTTTTTGATGCCTAAAAGCATTAAGTCAGGTCTTGGTTTTGCGTTACTGTGCCAATTGGAAAGAAGTTGCAAAGGCAACATTCACCAGATAGTCACTTAGGCATATGCTAACCTGTGGCAGGAGCTGCATAAGCAGAAGTATTTGCTATCAGTAAGCTTTTGAGATGGCTGAAGAGAGAAGTGAAGAACCTCACGGCCCTTACATTTGGAACACACAGAGTAGAGAAGAAGTTGCCTGCGATTTTCAGTAAACAAGACTCACAGCTCCTTTCGTAAGGACTTGTATGGGATTTTTGTAAGTAAGCTGCAGGTTTCATTCCAAAATTGGCTTCATTTATGTGTATAGCTTAGTCTTCCATTGGTCTCTCACTGTGCTTCTATTCTGTTAGGAGTAGCAGTTCTTGAGTTTAGCACCTGTTCCTTAAAAGGCTTATATGTCTGTGTGATTTTCACATTCTCTGCAGAGAATTGTAAAACATGTCTTTGCTTCAGCAGGAGTAAAATCTGGCTTTGTAGACAACTACAGGGGTATAGTTTAACTTCTCACAGTACTGGATATATAGGTACCATATGGTAGCAACTGGAAACAGAATGATCTTTTTAACACCAGCCTTTACCATAGCATAGCTTATAAAAAGTCATAAAATACAAAGCAGTTGATAAGCTGCATAAAATGCATTTGATTATTGTAGCAATGGGATAGAGGAGGCGCTAGAAGAATCATCTCATGAACCTGAGCCGGAACTGGAATCTGAAACAAAAACCGAGGAGCTGAAAGCAGAAGTAGAAGAAAAGACCCTTGAGGAGCTGGAAGAGAAGTCTCCATCTCCACCTCCTGTAGAACCTGTTTCACTACCACAAGAACCACCAAAGGTTAGTTAAAAGTCATATCTGTGCTTCTAGGTGCAGATGGTAAACCAGAGGATTTGGTTTTGGACTTAGCCTTTTTGAGTGGCCAAACTGGTACCTGTTTTCAGTGTCATGCTGTATGAACAGCTAGACTTGAACCTTGAACTTGTAAAAATGCAAAGTTTCACTAAAAAAGGAAATAATGTTATTTTTAAGCGCTGCTCAAGTCACCTATCATAAATTTAATGCTCTGCTTGTAAAGCGTGTGTGTGTGGTTTTATGCATGTGTAAACCTCTTTAAATGTAGAGTTAACATATGCTAAGAAAACACTTCAGGCTACCACCAACAAAAATCTCATACAATGGGAACCACTGCTCTTCCTTGAAAAAACCATAATGCCTTGACGCTTGCAAAATTGCTGGCCGTATAGGTTCAAAATCACTATGGGGGCACTGACTGTCTCCTTTAGAGGCAGGATGCCTAATCTTAAAAAACCACCGGGCACACCGTGCGTCATCTGGTATGGTTACACTGAGGTAGTTTGAAAGAGATGGGAGGAACTGGTGAAAGCTGGAGAGAGGTCATTTTCTAGCTCCAGCGTGTCTCCCGTTTGGTTTTTTTCCAATCCTTTTTCTCTTTTCCGTTTTTACTTCAAACTTCTGGCATCCTCTTTCTTTCTTTGTGCGAAGACACTTAACACTACAGGGTTTTCAGTCCTAGGTTTGGTTACATCATGGAAAGCAGTGATCCAGGGATGCTGAGGGAACTGGGCTCACTCAAGTAGCGGTAGTGGGCACAGTACACACTTGCACCACACCGTTGGAGGCCACAGATGGCTAGAACTGCAAATCCTTCTGTATCTTCGTTGTAATGCTTGCACAACAGTTATTTAATAGTCAGATATGAACCAAAAGTGTATTTTCAGCAGACGAGTTTCCCTGTAGGAATGTCAGTGGTTTGCCATGATTAGTAGCCTAGGTTTGTTGCATTTCCTGCAGGCTTTCTCTTGGGCTTCAGTGACCAGTAAAAACCTGCCTCCTAGTGGTACTGTTTCTTCCTCTGGAATTCCACCCCATGTTAAAGCACCAGTCTCACAGGTAACCCATCTGTGAACACCTTGGATTGTCTCATTACTTCTGCAAACTGCTTCAGTTTTTAAATTAACAGATCAATTTGTTTGACTTAAATTGCACAAATTAATTGTGTCTTAAATGTTAATGCACTCACCTTCTTGTCGCAAGCGAAGGCACGTACACGTAACAGGTGGAACTTTGGGTGATGGTGATGTTAAAATCTGTTCGTATGGAAACAGGAAATCACTACTGAAATTTTTTTGACCTTTCTTAATGGGGTATGGTTTGGTTTACAAGGGAAAATAAAAAACAAAACAAAACAAAAAAACAACTCCCCACAAAATGATAGTTTTCTAAAGTGTGTTTGAAAGGGGTATTTCATTGGCGGAAGTGCCCCAGCAGTAAAAAGGGATAGCACCGTTTCTGAGAAGGTGCAAGATTGCCTTCTAAGGCTAATGTCTACAGAAGTGCACTGGATTTCATTATCCATTTATAATGAATTTGTCACAGAACCCTGTACCAACTTATGACTGTGGGAGGAATGGAAGGATTCACATTTCCTTGCCAGGACAATGCTGTCTTCCCATTCCTAGGTTGACTGGGTGAGGAGGGGAAAGAAAGTTTGACCGGGTGATAGCTCGTATCCTGCACCTGCCAAGCTGCTGTGACACGGTCTGAGACTCTCAATTCAGCTGCCTTCATCTATATAAAAATCCTCAAAGCAGAAAATGTGTGCTTTAACCTCTTCTACTGACACTGTGTACCAAAGCACTGTATGTTGTGGTAGCTCATGTCCAACCTTTTTAAAAGACTGCAATTTTCAGTAGGGTGGCTGGGTTATTGCAGCTGTTGCTTTTGCACTGATTTCTTCTCCATTTTTTACTGACAGAGAGGAACCTGTCTAGGATTGCCCTTCAGCCAAATGCATGTTAAAAAAGAAAAACAAACAAACAAAAACAACAACAAAAAAACCCCTCACAAAACCAGCACCTTGTATGGTGTTGCTTTTGGTCTGAGAGGGCTGTCATAGAAATCAGGTAGTGGCTATGTAACGGGAAGCCTGTCTTCATCAGCTTTAACAGGGCTTTTGAGCATTTAGATGTTATTTGAGCCATAAAAACGGTGTTTTTTCTAGTACAGCATAAATATTCGTTTTGCAAAACCAAAATTGGTTTTGGTTTATTTGCAGTAGAGAGAGCGGATTTTTGTAATATGACTGCAAAAATGAGTTAAAATTATCTGTACAAGAGAGCCGAATATAGGTTATAGATGTCCCCTTGAACTCTTTCGTGTTGCCTCTGCAGCTTGTCATGCTTTCTGCTTTTTAGATTACTTTTGCTGGGACTTCATGTTTAAGTAATTCTGTGTGGAAGTTTCTGAACAATACTGAAGTGGCAAGAATTTCAACTCTCAGCTCTTCTGGAGACAGAATTAGTCAGTTCTTAGCTCCTTTTCTTGCATGCTTTTCAGACATGGTATACAGAAAGGTGGTAGAAAAGGCACCTGAACAGTTTGTACAATGGGTTACAGATCAGTAGCAGCTCTTTCCTGTTCTCTTGGATCCACTGATGCCAGATACCGTGCATGTAAACGGGGACAGTAGATTGCACTAGTGGGTGTGTAGCTCCTTTGGGAAGCTGTTCTAGCCAACATCAGTGATGTTACAAAGCAGCTGTTAACTGTCCTTCTCATTCCTTTCTGTGCGTCACTCCAGTTTTTCCCCATCTTTTATCAAGTTAAAAATACAGCTTCTGTAGTATGAACTCAGAAGCCCTCCAAGGACTGTACATGTACTGTTTTGGATATACACTAGTTCAGCTCCTATTTACTTACAGCTGTGGAGTTAAACAAGTCAGCGTTTCTCGCTCTTTTTCTTCTTGTGGGCAATTAGAAATCAACCTGCCTACACTGATAAATTGGGCCTTCTCTTTATAGCATTTTCAGATATTCTGACCTCCCATTTGCGTTAACACATCAGCTGTCGTAGGCGTGCCGGAGGGGCGGAGGCAGGCAGGGTGCTCCCTGACTCTTGTCTTCTGGCTCAGAAGTGGCGAGTTCAGGGAGAGGTCTGTTTATAGATGCTGCATTCTCTAACCACCTTCAATCTGTTCGGACTCTGGATAGACTCTTCTGTAATCTATAGCACCTTCGTGGAAGTGATTGATGAGTGCCTTTAGTAAGTTGTGTGGTCCACATTTGCCTCAGAGACAGTGTGGTAGCTATCTGAGGTATGCATCTAACCTAGCTGCTGGAATTCTGGTGATACGATGAGGGGTTTTTTTTCTTTTGTTTCATGTGAAGTGTGGTTTCTTGTTTGTTTGCTTGGCTAGTTGGTTCTTTGGATGCGTGCATTTTGATTATGGCAGTCATCGCACTCTAGAGAAATTTTTAAGCCTTTTAAGATTTAAAAGATAGAATTGTACCAGCCTTTGGAGCCACCTCTTCTCTTGCACCTTCTGTCCCATCCTTCTCTGTTTCAGGGGGGTATTCAGTTCCAAAGTTGGTGAATAAAGGCTGGCTTGTGGCTGGTTTTGCTGTCATTTGCCAGTAGCATTGCTGTAGCAGAAGGAGGTCCTTTTCCCTCCCCATGTGAGCCCCTGAAAAGAAGGGACAATGTCACCTTTTCCTTAATTGTTCTCAAAGCTCCATTAGGCTGAGGTTTGTGGCACACTCCGCTCCTGGGCTGACTGCTCCTTTAGTCGTTGTGTGTTCAAATCCGTATTCTGTGCCTTTCAGTCCACTTTGGGTGCTCTCCGTGAAATGAGAGTTGCAGTTAGCTGCTGCTTGGGTTGTAATGGCAGCCCTTAATAGGCACTGAGGCGGTCTTACTTGGTCAAAAGGGATGGTACTGATTAGAAAGCATGAGATTAGCTGTTTGTTGTTTGTGTGATAGATGAGAAGTTCAGTGAAATGCAAAGCAAGCAGGTGTAAGTTAACTGTTCTTTGGGATTTAACAGAAGGACTTAAGTGATTTAGCAAGTCTTTGCTCTGGTTGATGGAAGGACTCGAGTGTTTAAGCCTGATAGCCATTAAGTATCTAAGAGATGGGGGTCTGCATCTATTGACTTTTGCTTTCGAGGTACAATTTAAAATGCAGTAAAAGATTTGTGAGTAAAAGATGGCAGGGGAGCTCCAGTGACCCATGAGGAGGTATAATGAAGAGACATTTAACAGGAAGGCTGATTTTTCTAGCTTATTCTTGGAATTGAAAAAATGATCCTAGAAATGTTGGAAGGACAAGGTAATGCCTAGCTGGGTAGAGCACGAGTGATCGGGGGGCTGAAACATTTATTTGGTGCGTAATACCTGCATGTGTCAGGTAAAATACAGTCTTCTTACCCCTCTGAGGTGCTCTCTGGCTGGAACTGTCAGCTATCTTGAGACCTTAAAGGAAAATAAGGGAGATGTTTAACATAAACTACTTCTCTGCAGCAGTCTGGGCTTATAGCCATTGTTCTTGTGTTTAATCTTCCTTGGAGCATAGTGTTCTTCTTTATGCTCCTAAGGATAATTTTGTTTTTCTAAGATAAGAACTCAGCACAGCAGCAGGTGCTGGACTGTTGTGCAGAAAATGGAATTTAAAAAATGTTGGAAAACGCTTCAGTAACCAACAGGCCGCGTAGAAATATTTTTAATTGTTCTGTCTCTTTTTCTCAAATTATCCTTAAAAGCATTTTTTGCTTGCAAAACATGGAATAGGTGTTCTAGTTCCTGAGAATACAAAGGATGTACTTTGAGCATCACAGTCTTGACAACGGGAAAGTTGCAGAATATCGTCAGCAGGTAGCCTGTAGAAATTGTCATTTCAGGCAGCTTTACTGTATCGGAAATACTTATTGCACTTCTGAGGGCTTTTGTTTTGTTCTCCTCGTTCTTTTTGGTACTTTCCTTATAGTTGCTCTGCACTCAAGGAAAAGAATCCCTCAGGGACTCGGACGGAAAATGTGATTTGCCCATCTGTTCCTGTTCATCTCGGACTGCCTCTGAATCCGTGAAGTTTGGCCTGAGGGAGCTTTATCTCATCTATGCGGGGTTTTTAGTCAGGTTGAGGGATTCTTGAATAACGGAGCGTTGGGGTCTCAATGCCTGGTCAAACATGGAAAATTCACCTTAGCCATGTTTTGGGGAGACGGTCCGATTGAGAGATGTTTGATTTGCACCTTTTAGCAGAGGTAACTGAACACTGCAGTCCTGGATTGGTACAGAGGAATTTATAGAGGTGAAAAAAATGTATTCCCAAACACATTGACACGGTTGTATATCTTCTGGAGTTTGTTTTGTGCATGCCACTTACCTGTGTCTTTTGTTTGTGGGGTTTTTTTTGTTTTGGTGAGTTTTGGGGGTTTGGGTATTTTTACTGAGCAGGTGTTTAATAATGCATGTTCTCCTCCTGTTTTAGCCAAGAGTTGAAACTAAACCTGAAGCTCAGTCTCAACCTCCTCGTGTACGTGAACAGCGTCCCAGGGAAAGACCAGGTTTTCCACCCCGAGGACCTCGACCAGGTAATGTGGATCAGCGTGCGTGTCTGCTTGGGACTAGTTAACGAGAGGTGCCTCCGCAGTGGGTCTTGTCTGTACCTGTATTATATTGGGCTGGTAATGAACTGTCTGATCCTACTGCCTTCAGCTAGAAATGGGGGAATATAATTTGGAGGCCAAGCTGGTGATGAGTTGTTGGAAAGATCAGGCATTATTTCCAAGCTTCTGTGTTGTTGAAATGTTTTTTAATAGGCCACTCACTTACATGCTTGAGTACTTTTCCTGTGGCTTGATGCAGTTCTGAAAAGCTGCTATGGACATCTGAGGGGATTCCCCCCCACCCCCATGTCCTTTAATTTTGCTGAACCTTGGAAGTGAGAGCTCTTAAGTGCCTGTGGCTGCTTTGTTTTGGAAGAAAACCTTCCCACTGTGTCAACCTCAGTCAGTTAATAATCTTATACATGTTTTTCCACCTTGTGTAATTGTCTAAAATACTCTTTTCAGTTTAGCTGCCTCATGTTTGTCTTAGTGGATGAGCAGCCAGCTCTCTGCATTTTCTTACTCCTGCAGAGTATCTAAAACTGTAGGATGGTCTGGCTAGAAAATGTGCACGTTACTTGACAGTCGTCAGAAGTGGTGTTGAGAGGTGAAAGCCGTCTGAGTTGCATTCATCAGTCCAGCCTGGTCGCTTGGCAAACTTCTGTGCAGCACTGGGCAAAAGCTATCTAGTCAAAGGCCCAGAGTTACGGGATGTTGATCAGTTCATCGTCTTTCCTAAGTGTGAAAATAAGCCACGAGTTCTAAGGGGAGGGGTGGTATTTGCGGTGATCCTTAAGTGGTAGTGTAAAGCTGGCAGGAGCTGGCAGAGCGCTGCCTGCAGAAATGGTTAAGTCTCAGCGGCTGTCAGCGCCACCACCAACTCTAGCTAAAATTGGTTCTAAGGAAGGTTTTCAGTGCATACCAAATGGTGGTACAGATTGGGATTAAAAGTGCTTTTGGCTTTGATCGGTGCAAGTATATTTTCACCCAGGGTCAATGCTGAAACTGAAAGGATTTAAGGCACTGAGAAAGAACTGTGACGTCTGTTACAGGTTAACATTTCTTGGTTTTTTTAACATGTCATCTGCAGCAGGGAGCAAAAGCTGCAACTTGTGGCTAAATCAAGCTGCAAATCTGCATTTCTACTACTCTTGGATGTAATAGAAGTCATGCAGAAAACGTGTAACAAAGCCTGAGTCTTTTAATTTCTGATCTTAGGCTGGGGGGTAGCAGAGGAGGGCAGAAAAAGCTGAAATCTCAGTGGACCAAATGGTAGAACTTCAGCCCTATGGTCTTATTTTCAAAGGAAGTCAGCGAACTGTTCTATCTGTTGAAGGAAACCTTTCAAACGAGCTAGCAAGGTTGCTGTAAATGGGCTTGTAGGGGAAGCAGAGGAGAGAAAGGGGTACATACCTACAGAGTAATACCTCAGGTACAAAAGGGCTAACAGTGCGCTACTGTCATGCTGCAAGGCAGGTAATGATTTAGTAAGGGTGATAGTGGGACTGATTTTATCTTACACGCTGCTAAGCGTACTAATACTTCGGCTGAGCTGGAGAGAACATAAGGAACTCTCACTTGTATCTGGGGCAAAATGGTGGAGGAAGAAAGCCAGAAGAGGTGATGGCAAACATTGTTTTTAATATGAGTGCCAAAGTAAGGATACTGTTACTGTGCTACAGAATTGATGAAGAGCTGACTTAAATCCAAATCTTTTTAAAAGTATGATTTAATAGGTAGTGAGCTCCTCTTTGGTATGACGATTTAAGATATAACAAGAACCTCTTGAACAAACTTCCCCAGTATGCTAGATGTTTTAGTTAACATGGTTTTATTTAACCTAACCAGGGAAACCACACAAAAAGAAAAAAATTACTGTGTGGTATTATTACAAAATTGTCAGGACTATGTAAAGAGGGAGATAGTATCCTCCCTGCTGTGTCACCTATGGTAAACATAAGCTCAAGAGCAGAAGGTATAGAATTTTTTGAGTGAACGTGCTTGGTGCTGTTTGTAGATGTGTTCATCGGAATCTACACACATCTTCTAACCTCAGTGGCTCTGCCTTCTTCTTTCCATTGACGACAGGGAGGGGGGACATGGAACAGAATGAGTCGGATAATCGTCGAATAATTCGCTATCCAGACAGCCACCAGCTCTTTGTTGGGAACTTGCCGCATGATATCGATGAGAGTGAACTGAAAGAGTTCTTCATGAGTAAGTAGCAATTTCAGCTGCAGAGACTAAGAAGAAAAATTACATTGAAAAGTTATGAAACCTTCACTTAAGGCCACACAGGGGAACTTTTACATGATGTGACACTACAGGTGTTGTGTGGAACAAGCCGAGGGGTGGTAGAGCTGGCACTGTGTTTTTTGATTAACATTGCTTTTCCCTTGTGTTTTCCCAGGCTTCGGAAATGTGGTAGAACTTCGTATAAATACTAAAGGAGTGGGAGGAAAACTGCCTAACTTTGGTTTCGTGGTATTTGACGATTCTGAGCCGGTCCAGCGAATTTTAGTTGCAAAAGTAAGTATCGACGCTTACTTTTAGAGATCCCTTTAAGCTGAAAATCGAGTACGTAACCTTTTCAAGGGCATCACGTGGGTCTCTCAGTTCTGCGTCCTGGGGGTGAGAAAAAGGAGTGAGGTTATTTGTGGTTGTGACTTGAGGAATTGGAGAGGAGAAAGCAGTGGTTTTCATTTCTAGTATGTGGGAGTGAGACCTGGCAGAGCAGTTCTTCAGGAACTTTAGCCCTGAAGTGAAAAGGCTAAAGCCGGCAGTGAAGAGGCCAAAGACAACCCTGCCCTTACTTGAGAAAGACATTTTAATTCCTTGCATGCCAAATGAACTTAGAAGTGCTCTTCCATTTACTGTAGACCTCTAGGGCTAAGGTTGTGTGCTGCAGGGAACCGTTAACAGTTAATTTTTGTCTTCCGCTTGTAAGCGAAGGTAGGCTGAGGCATGCAGCGAATGCAGTGTTTTCGTATGCCTTGTATAAATGGACTTTGTGAAATGGTGACTAACGTGTGCCTTGAACACTTTTCCCTATAAGCCCATTATGTTCCGGGGTGAGGTGCGCTTGAACGTAGAAGAGAAAAAAACAAGAGCCGCTCGTGAAAGAGAGACCCGAGGTGGAGGCGATGATCGTAGGGATATTCGTCGCAATGATAGAGGCCCTGGGGGTCCCCGTGGAATAGTGGGTGGTGGCATGATGCGAGACCGTGATGGAAGAGGACCCCCTCCGAGAGGTGGCATGGCACAGAAACTTGGCTCTGGACGAGGAACCGGGCAAATGGAAGGCCGTTTCACTGGACAGCGTCGCTGAAATCTCCACTGTGGGCAGACAGTCTTGGCAGTGGTACATTATCCATCGTGTTTGCATTCTTGTTAATTTTTTTTGGCTTTGGAATGTGACACAGCCCTTCTGATAATTTCTTTGATGTGAAAGCATCCTTTGGTTTCCAGTTTAAATTGAGGTGGACGTTCTTTCCCCAGTTTCACAACAGGAGTCACACTGTTAATTTATAAATGTAGACTTGGAGAATTGAGGACTGGAAAAAAAAAAAAAAAAAAAAAAAAAAAAAAAAAAAAAAAAAAAAGACCGGTTAACTATCTGCAACAAAAGTGAACTAAAGGACATGCCCAATAGAATTCAGGTCCTTTCAGTCAAAAACCCTCTGCTGCACATTTTGTGTAAGTGTTACTGTTTCTGCCTATTACTGTTGGAAACACAAATAGTGCAATTTGTGCAATTGGAGAAGCTTGCCTTTTTTTTTTCCTTCTTAGAACACTCGGCTCCAAACAAACTCGTGTTTACGCGCTCATCAAAATGCACTAATGGGTACTCTGAACTCATTTATATTGACACCTGCAGGAGGCATCGGAGGAAAAAACTTTCATCCTCTTATTCAGACAGAATAGCTTGTGAAACGATGCGGGCATCTGATCTGCTTGCTGTGACCAACATATGTACACACACAAACCTTAATAAGACTACAAGTTTATTCCAGAAGAAATCCATTTAGCTGTAAACTAAACAGAACCCAGAGTTTCAAAGTCGTAGCCCTGAGTACGCAACAAGTTTGGTAGCTCACGTCAGGTTTTCTATCTGCCCCTCTTCAGTACAGGGATGGCTGCTCAACACACTCCTCCTTCCCCTTTCCCCTTCGATAAGCATTGTACAGTGAAATTTGTCTTGACTGTATTTGAGTTCTCTGGTAATGTAATAAGCATGATGGTGCCTTCTATGAATACATCATTCCAGTCTTGCTGGTGATTTTGTACAGTATAGTGTATGAATTACTGTGCTGCAAAGCCAATCGGCTGCAAAGCATTTAAAGGAAGTCATTGAAAAATTGTATTAAAAAAAATTGCAGTATCTTTCAATCAGTAAACGTTGCTAAAATTATCATCCACCTTGCTCTTCAATTAACAAGTTCGCCTGTTTTTTTGCAGAGGGGGGGAAGGGAGGAAGAAGGCATCCAAGTAGTCTCCAGGTTGTCTCTTCTCTTTTATCAATGTCAAAGCTAAAGAAAACGGAGTTGAAATCTCTCTTGGATGTGAATTTCGGAAGTCAGTCAAGAACGGTGAATGCTTTTGGCCAGCTTGTAATCGGTAGAACTGAGCATCCTTTGTGAGGGTGAGCTTATCAAACGAGGATACTGCAATTTTCCGAGAACAAAACAGCAGCTCTTAAGTAATTGCATTTTCCAGTTGCACTTTTTAAAAAACTCTTACTCATTTTGCACATAACTCTCAGCTGAAGTTGACACTTACGTGGCTCCGGACTGAAAGATAGAAAGGAGACATCCTCTTCTTCAGTTTGACTGGTGTTTTTTTTCCAGTGGAGAGGTCTGTTTCTGGATGACGTTCTGGAGCGCATTCCCATAAACTGCAGCTGCAGCAGACAGTACGGTTCGGCTCGATGCCGGGGCGTGCAGCAAGCGCCCGGCTCTGAGGCGTCAGGAGTAAAAGTTGGGGGGGGGGTGTTTGCGTGTGCGTCTGTACAAAAGTGTGACCACTTAAAGCTGCTTCTAAGCATGGAAGACCTCAAATAAAATACTGGCAATTTCAAGCAAAAGCAGATAGGGCATCATAGCAATCTGTCTCTGGATTATGCAATCATTTGCTGTTTTCAAGTAAGTTGGAAGATTTTGCACATATTTTTCTGATACGTTAGGCAAAGTGAAGTGGCATCTGTCTGTTTTTTCCCAGACTCGAGGTCTTCTGTGTTCAATGGTAAGTCTTGCACTATTTTCATACATTTTTTTTCTGGGGCACATTTCTACCAGTTTCCATTTTCATATTTCAGTTTTTTGTTGAAGGTCTTGCATTTTCAGCTGTTACCTGGAAATCTGTAGTACTTGAACTGCTGGCCACACAACACCACTACTTTAGGTTTGAAGCCTTCGGACAAATTGCTGTCATGGGTTAGCAGTTTGCCACCAGTGTGTTTTGTGTAGCCTTTTTTTTTTTTTTTTTTCCTTTTGTAGTACTGTGGTGTTTTGCTGCCACCTAATTCAGTTATATGGCAGATGGCACTGGGAATAATCTCAATGACAAAAAACGGAGTATTAAAAAGAGCTACTGAGCCATTCTGCTTTCTGGCTTGCTTCTTGTTTAAGTGACATGAACAACATTGGAGCGTCATCCAGAGAAGTTTACATGGTGATAGCTCACCTGCTGTACTGTGGACTCTTACGTGTTCTCGACCCTCTCGGTAGTAAATGTACCTCTTAGAGCAAAGGAAGGGATTCACTGACCATTACTGTTAGTTGCTGATTTGTGGATGGTGGGAGTATTTTGTCATTACGGTTCTATTTCAACAAACTTGGCTGACCATCTTGGCTTTAGTAGGTATACAAGACAGTGGATTACCATCTTTATTGCTGTAACGTGTCAAGCATTATATGCTAGTAGATTCTAGTTTAATTGTTGCAGGTGGAAAGTATTTTTACTTTTAAGTTTCCATTCTGAATGTGTTTTGACTAAACATACCAATAAACTACTGATGTCTGCAGCATTTATCCATGTCCCTAATTCTCTTGAATGCAGGTCGCTGTAGAGCACTGTTTCATCCCTTGCTGTACAGAAAATGCTTTCTTATGAACATTGTTGCTGGCTTGTCAGATGGCGGTGGGAAGCCGTAGTAGCGCAGCGTCACATAGTTCGGTTGAAGTGTTTGACTTGAGTGGAGTCGATGAGCTCTGGTTTGCCGTGGCTGTATAAACTCCTTTCCTGGGACGCTGGCTGGAGAAGACACAAGGGCTGGAAGCCCAGCCAGTGCCCCTGAGAAACCGTGCCTGAGCCCCTGGTGGCTTCTGAGGGGTCCTGGCTTGGGTGGCTCCGGCTCCAGAGCTGAACGGCAAGGAAATTGGACGTGGTGTGTTCGTGTCACAGGTGGCCAGCCAAGCGTTGCCCTCGGCGCAGGTCTGTCCCCTCGATCTGGCGGCTCCTCTCGCCTTGGGCCGTGCGCGGTCCAGGGAGGACATGAGCACCTCTCGGACGTGTCCCAGATGGGATTCCTGCGCGCCCCGCCAGGCGGTGGGGGCTGTGGCGTCCGGCTTTGGGGGTACACCTTGAACGTGAGCTGAGTTGTCTCAAAAAACACAAATCTGGAGCTGCTTGCTCTCAACTTTAGCGTTGCTTGCTCTTGATGCTGTGGAACTGATTGTCTTACTGCAAGATAATCCCTGTTTTTTCCTTTCTTGTGTTTGGTGGCATTGCCAGTGGCGGCATTTACCCAAAAAGGAAGAGTTATTCTTGCACTGCTTGTAGATAAATTGTGTCTGAGTCACGGAATCTGTGTGGAGCTGTTCTGCTCTGGGTGAAGTTCGTGGGAGCTGCTGTCTGCTGCATCTTGAAGTCCTCTGCCGAGCGTGTGTCTTCGCTGGAGTATTTTCTGCTAAATGGCAGTTGGGAAGTCTCTGGAAAGTTGTGTGAGTTGAAATACTGGAATGAAAAAATGAGATCCTGTAGAAGAGCCCTAAGCCCAAGTCACCAAAACCTCCTCTGAGGAGCAGCCTCCACAGCTAGGAGATCTGCTGGCACCAAAGATGCCCAAAGAAACACGGTCCCCTGCCGAGGGCCTGGAGCATTCGGATCTTCGTACTACTTTGTGAGGTAAATTGTGGTGGCCTGCAAACCCCTGCTTACCTGGGGCTGGGGAGGAGGTGGCAGAGAGAATGGTACCTGCAACCAAACAAGGTGGGCCAGGACAGAGTTTTACTTGTGCCATGAAGTCTTAAGTCTTTAAAATAGTTCAAGAGCACATTTGATCAGCACCTGAGCTGATGTTCAGGCTTTGTGAATGACTCTGCGTAATGATTAGCCTGTACTTTTTTTTTTTTTTTCTTCTTTTTATATGGTTGAAATGGAGCAAGGTAAAAGTCGGTCCATATGCATACCAGAGTGATGGCTGGGGGGCTTTTAGTGGAGATAAAAAAGTGAGGAAATGCCAGGGGGCAGATGAAGGATGTCAGCGAGCAACAACATGTTCAGTTCCCTTGGTGGTAACCACGTGCAGACACAGCAGGCTCTGAAGTACCTTTATAATTTTTTGTGGACATCATTTTAGAAAGGCCTTTGCAGTCACCACGATTGCTGGAGTTTTGCATTTCATGTGGAGAAATACAGCTTGGAAAAGTGAATTTATTGTACAAGGTGGAAGAAGATAGCAAGGCTGCCTGATAATCCTTGGGAAAGCTCCTCTTGGTGTCTCTGGTTAAAGTTTGGTTTCTTGCAAGGGGAAGAAAACCAGCTTGGGCCCTCGGTGTAACCTTTCACTCCTGTTCTGACTGTTGTCTCCTGGGCTTGAGCTGAAGTGAGACATCTCGGTGATGGTGCTTCTGATGCCATCTCTGCAACACTTGCTGTTCCCGCTGAAAGGTGGGAACAGTGGGAAGTGCGGTGTGCGTGCGGGCGTGTATTTTTGCATGTGTAGGAATTTTAAGTTGAGAACAGCTTTTGCAGGTGCTGACACGACGCTCTCCTACGCGGCATTACTGCAATGCAGTTTTAATGGCAGACCCTCCCATAACCTTGAAATCCTTGACTCCCCTGAGAGGTAAGGTACAGGCATTAAACCTAGAGTTGGTAAAACAAGGCATCACGTACCAGTGGGTTTCATGGCCCCACAGGGACCTTAATAGCCCTGTTGCGCCTCGCAGCATTTGCAGCAAGTGAGTCCTGAAGTTGCTACTGAAATGCGCCGGACAACGTGTTGTCGCCATGTTTGTCCTGACGGACATGCGAACTTGCAGGAGCTGTTGTGTCAGCTCTCGGCCGCTGTGACCTGCCAGCAGCAGGTAGGGAGCATGTGTGCTCTGCCAGGAGCGCAGGGGAGGGAGAGGGAGGTGAGGGGTGTCGGTGGGTCCGTTTGGGAGTAGGTGATTATGTGGATGATCAGGAGCAGGTCCCCTCTCTGGCTCTGCTTGGCAAAGAGAAGAAACAAGAGCCTGTCTGGGGGAGCCCGGCTGCAGCTCTGCCGTAGCCACTCCTGGAGCATCGCAGGGTGGGAGCCGTACCGCTGCCCTGGGCTGAACCCCACGGCGGGAGCAGCAAGAGCTGCTGCCCTTTCCCTGCGACGCAAGGAGCAGGTTGGTTTTTCCCCGACGTGTCTGCTGCTCCTGATCTGCGCCCTGCGCTCCGCACTGGGGCAGCACCCTGCTGGGGGGGGGGGGGGGGGAGGGCCTGGGTGTCCTTTGTT